GGGGGTCGGAAATTGCAATAAAAATTTTAATTTTTTAAAAATATACGGCCAGCTAGTATTCACCCTGGGGTGTATGGGGTTCTTAGAGGGGTAGTAACTTTCGAAAGTGTCAGCCGCACTGAAAGAGTGGACACCGTAGACTGTTCCCCATGAGGACCCAACTCTCATTTATGGCTCCAAGTAGTTGGTAGTGCATGCCAACGGCCACACCCTGGGAAACCGCCTCGGCTGGTGGGCTAAACTAAGTGAGGGTATCAGTAGTGCCATCTGCTACTGGTAGTTAGGGTGTGCCACTCTATAGTGCACGAAATCTGGAATGGCCAAAGCAGCAGAAGAATCTACTATCAAAGATCAATGGTGTAATGGGCATGACAGCAAAGTAGGTGACATACCAAGGGCACATTCTTGGCATACAAAGTGAAATGTGGCCAGTCACCGTGGAAGAGATTGGAGCCTCACCACGTATTCTCCACCATAGTAAACCATGAGAACCGCTACCACTAAAAGAATCAGTTATAGAGACAAGGTCGAGCCCCCTGCGAACTGTGTCTCTAATGTATGCTACAGGGAAGAGGAGTCATGTCCTGAGAATAGTAAGTTTGACTCTAATATTAGAGAATATGAAGAGACCATCTTAACCCCACTTGGGAGGATGATATCAGAAGTCCCCAAACTGAAGACCAGGAATGTACTACTTAACATAGGAACTTGGAATGTTAGAACACTGTATGAACTAGGAAAACTTGATAATCTCATTCAAGAAATAAAGTCAATGAGGCTAGATGTTATGGGTATTTGTGAAACAAGATGGACAGGCACAGGAATGATTTACAAGAATGAATATACAATGATGTACTCAGGAGTAGAGACACATGTAAATGGAGTAGCCATCATTATGAAGAATAGTATAGCAAGATCAATAAAAGGCTTCACTGCAGTCAATGATAGAATCATTGCAGTAAAGATAGCTGCTCAACCTTTAGACATTCTCCTAATCCAGGTTTATGCTCCCACAGCTGGACATGAGGAAGAAGATGTTGAGATATTCTACGAAAATCTGAAGGAATCGGTGGAAATGGCAAAATCAAATGATATAATCATAGTTATGGGCGATTTTAACGCAAAAGTGGGCAATGAGAAGATATCGGAATGCATGGGTCAATATGGACTTGGTAAGAGAAATAAAAGAGGAGATAGACTCATTCAGTTTTGTGAGGAAAATAAGTTGATAATCACCAACACCCTGTTTAAACATCCAGCAAGAAGAGTGTATACATGGAAAAGTCCAGGGGACATATGCAGGAATCAAATAGACTTCATTTTGATTAAGGAAAGATTCAGAATTATAAAACAAGCCAAATCATATCTTGGAGCAGATATTAATTCCGACCATAATCCAGTTGTAGTGAAAGCAAAAATTAAACTAAAAACCTGTAAGCAAAAGTCAGTATCAAAAAGTTAAATTCAGCAATATTAAAGGAAGAGAACATAAAAGTAAAATTTAATGACAAATTAATAGAGAAATCAATAACAATAAAATAAATAAAGAATATAATCAATCAATAGAAGATATCAATGAAGCATGAAATGCCTTTAAGGAATGTATTATAAGAAGAGCTGCTGCTAATAACATTCCAGAATACATTAGAAAAATTGACAAACCTTGGATGACTGATAAAATTCTAAATATGTTGGAGAATAGGAAAAGTTTGAAAAATAAACCAGGATATAAAAATTTAACAAGATCTATAAAAGAGAGTGTAGAAAGGCTAAAGAAGAGTGGCTTAACAAAAAATGTGAAGAAATTGAAAGTTTGGATAAAGAAAATAAAATAAAAGAACTCCATGAAAANATGGAGAATAGGAAAAGTTTGAAAAATAAACCAGGATATAAAAATTTAACAAGATCTATAAAAGAGAGTGTAGAAAGGCTAAAGAAGAGTGGCTTAACAAAAAATGTGAAGAAATTGAAAGTTTGGATAAAGAAAATAAAATAAAAGAACTCCATAAAAAAAATCAGAAAAGTAACTTTTAAAAAACAGAATTTTCAAGCCCAAGTTATAAGAGATATAAATGGGAGAATACTCTTGGAGATGGAAGAAATAATGAAAAGGTGATATGAACATGGAAAGGAATTATTCCAAGGTGACAGGGAGGAGATTGAATCTCCCAGGGAATTAGAAGGCCCACCAATACTCAAATGGGAAGTTGTAAAGGCCATTGATAAACTTAAACCCAGTAAGGCTGCTGGCCCAGACAATATAGAGACAGAATGGATCTAGCTAAGTTATGCAATGACGTCTATGAACTGGGATACCTTCCCGAAGACTTCAAACAGTCTATATTTGTTGAAATCCCCAAAAATCCAAAAGCAAATAAGTGTGAGGATTTTAGAACCATAAGCCTAATTAGTCATGTGGCAAAGGTTCTAACTTATATCTTGTTAAACAGAAACAAAGGAAGATGGACTGAAGGCATAAGTGAAACACAAAGTGGTTTCCAAGAGAATAAAGAAACAAGAGAAGGTATTTTCAATCTGAAAACTATTAATGAAAGATATAAGGAAAAACAGAAAAATATTTATCTATGTTTTATAGACTATACAAAGACATTTGATAACGTGAAACATGATTACCTTATTAAATGTCTATTAGAAAATAGTATGGATGGAAAGGATGTCAGATTACTTACCAATTTATACTGGGAACAGAGTGCTGCAGTAAGGATTGGCAAAGAATTTTCGCAAAGCTTCCCAATACAAAAAGGAATAAGGCAGGGTAGTGTGCTGCCTCTGATTTTGTTTAATGTTTACACAGAAAGAATTTTCAGTCAGGTCTAAGATCTAAAAGGAGTAATCATAGGGGGCAAAAATTTCAATAATCTTAGGTATGCTGATGACACTGCTATTAACAGAAAATTAATGGGGTATAATAATGCTGATAGAGGAAATATCAAAATTGAGCAATCAATTCGAATTAACATTGAAATGCAAAAAGACCAAAACTATGGTCATTTTCAATGAGAAAAAACTTAAAGTAAATATTAAAATCAGAAACAGTAAACTGAACAGGCCAAAAGTTGTCTATCTGGGACACAGAATGATAAGGAAATTGGAAGAAGGATTAGAATTTCAAGGACTGTATTTACAAACATGTAACAAGGGTTGACATCAAGAGAGATTAGTATACAAACAAGAGTTAGGTTGGCAAAATGAAATAACATTTTGCCAACCTAACTCTTGTTTGGTCGACCCTGCTTTACAGAGCAGAGAGTTGGACAATGAATGAAAATAATGAAATCAAAGGCATTTGAAATGTGGATGATTCGAAGAATGCTGAGAGTTTCTTGGAGGGCAAGATGAACAAATGAAGATATCTTGGCAACTGCAAATCAGAAAAGAATCTTACTAGAAGTAGTAAGGAAAAGAAAAGTGAGTTATCTGGGGCTACTACAACACCAAAGCCTACAAAAACTATTACTGGAGGGAATGATTGAAGGGCAAAGAGGCAGGGGTAGCCCAAGAATGAACTGGTTCAACAACATTAAGATTTGGACATACTTAACATATGAAAAGTGCTCAAGAGAAGCACAAGATAGATCATGGTGGCATGAAATGGTTGTCAACCTCCTGATAGGAGAAGACACCTAAAGAAGTGTGTACAAGATAGATTACCATTGACCAAGATATCACTCATTTAAAAATGTTAGCTACAATCTGTGTATTTGGGTGACAAAGGAAGGCTTAATTAGATTTCATTGTTTTAGGTTTCCCTGATATGAAATTGCATGAAAGATTATTACAGGAATTGGATTTGACACTAAAAATGTTGTTATGTTCATAAAACTGTGGAAATTACAAAAAACAAATGAGATAAATGATAGAATCCACATTTCCTGACATTAACATGGCAAAAAAAGCATCAGAGTCCACATAACAATTATCCTTGTAATAATAAATTTAGTAAATAAAATGCTGAGAAACAGATGATTGTAAAAACTGTTGTCACAAGTATAGAAGATACATGTTTTGCACGTGGATTAAATCTAAAATAAATGATTTTGTCACACCAAAATGTTCATAAAACAAAAAAAGAAGAAATAAGTCTTTTTAGTATTATTATTATGTTGTTATTTTTCTTTTTATTTTAAGGATTAAATCATTTTGCCCCTAGGTGTAAGTCAATAATAATACTGTTATAAGAAAGTTCATTTTTTTGTAAATAAAAATATATTGATAGGTTAGTATTTTTATTAAGGGTTTATCACACCAATTATTAACTACACATATACAGTTTTACAACTTTTTATTTCTTAATTGTCTATTATAAAATTAATAGACAATAGAACCCTTTTTCCTTTCTTAAAATGCATTTCAGGTTTTTTAAATTATAATCCTTCTTCTGTTAGCATTCATAATTGAGAGTTTTAAAACAGACTAGAACACCAACAACTGGTTTATAATTTTTATAATTAACACTTAGAAAACTACAGTATTGGATTTTTCTACATATTACAATAAGATTATAACTAATAAGCTTTAGTACCATGATGATTCTTATTAATGTTTTCATTTTTACTTTAGCATTCTTGTGTATTATGCCACTTCTTTTATTTATTCTGACATTGTTTAATCTAAATTATAAATGTTTAAAAAGTTACATAACAGTTACAATTGTATTTTATATTTCTTAGTAAGTAATTTTTTTAATTGTTTATATGTTGTAGAGTTTTTAATATTTTGTTTGTTAATATATTTACTTTTTTACTTAAGTTTATTTTCCTTTTGTTGATTTTTTCTATTTAATTTACAAATTGATGATATTACTTTTGATTTTTACATTTTAAATTATTACTGTTTAAACAATCTTACAATATTGCTGGGTTTATGTTATTTTACTATTTAATTGTGAAGTTCAAAGCAATGATACTTGTCTTGCAAAAATCACTTGTATTATTTCTATTATTATCTAATCCCCAACAAGTTATACCACCGAGCATCCTTCATTTTCATTTATTTAATTTTTTTTGATTTCCAGAGCTATTACAGGAAATCCTCATTAGTTCAAAAATTCAAGGAATAAATAATTGCAACTTTGAATTATCAAGTTATTTGAGATTTACATATTTCTGTACATTATACCATGTAATTGATGTAATTTATTAAGCAAACAGAATATGGCTATATACACAAAAAGCTACTCTTGTTAACTATTAATAATTATTATTATTATAAATACTGTATAATTCAACATTAACAATGTTATGCCTACTGTAGTACTGTACTGTACAGACTTATCATAGCACTTGTCTTTTCTAAAATGGAATGAGAGAATGAAACACGATTTTTTTTAAAAGAATTTTTAAAAAATGTCTTCTCTTAAATTCCATTTTAAAACTCTGTGACATGATGAAAATCTTCTATGCAAATCAAAAACATTAGTCCATCCTTTCATTGAACATGTAGTAGAGTTTCCCTTGCTGAATGAAAGAAAGAATCAAATGTAGACTGTCTTGCTGTCATTTCTATCGTTTTTACGCAAAGGCATAACTTATCAAGGGCAAGATGAATATCCTCACTAGCACTCACAGCACTATCTTCAAGCATCATGTCAATTGGGGTGCAAAATTTCATTATGATTGACAGAATTTTGAGGTGGTGCCTGATCATCTTTGTTGACACTGTTGCAAACATCTAGTATTTGAACTGGTATTGTAGCTGCATTCAGGTTTGGTATTGTCTCAAAGTTTATGTTGGTTGTTGCAATATCATTATCTATATTCACATAAGTTAATCTGGGAAGTTCATGACAGTCAATGTTTTCTATTAATGCTTTCCATTTAGGTGGTACTTCAATCACTCTGTTTTGCTGGATATTTTCAATGTCATTAGCATCTGCATACCATTGAATGAAACCTGGTTTTACAAAACAGTTTCTGATGCATTCAGCTGGAATTCTTGCCAGGTAGCCGCACAATCCACAGGGCATCCAAAATGTTCCATTTTTGTATCTCTTTGGTGAGTAACTTCAAGAAATCTCTCCAAGCATGTACTATACCAAACACTTCCTGTACTAAGCTTGGAATTTGAAGTTGTGGAATTATGCCTTGATCTAAAGGATCCACTCCTTATTGCATTTTCCATTAGGACAGGTTTTACCTTTCAATGCTAAAGTTTTAAATGGCATTGTTATGTAATAAATGATCTTTGTGTTTATGTTTCTTGTTCCTGCAAAAAAAGACAAGACAAAATTTGCATTAACTAATGGTCACCATACTAGTTCTCATTCTTGTCTTTTCTCATGAGAGTTATGAGATCCATTTATTAATAATTTAACAGTGGTTACAATTGTAGAAAAATGTATAAAAAACTAGTTCAAATTGTTAGACTAGATGTTGCTTGTTGGAGAGATTAGTAAAACAAGTTAGATGCGCATAACTGGTTATATAACAAAGAAACAAAGAATACACAAAGATTACACTGTCTTGACTCATGGAGGTCAGCGCTGGAAAGGGGAGAGAGAAACAAGGTCATCGTCTCTAACGACTCCATGAGTGGTCAACAGCCTTTTATTATGTAACAGAAGAACGTTTACAAAACATTGCAACACAATGCGGTGTATGTAACGATGTCATATAACATTAGACAATAATTTCGATCGTTGATTCCAACAAAAATTAAATTATTGAGCATTCAAACAGTAAATTTACAAAACATAAATATGAGAAAAAAAAAAAAAAAGAAGAAACCAATATCTGTGGGGTGGCAATATCCATCACCACACCATCCAGGTATCAAATTGTAGAACACACATCATATAAGTTGAAGATATCATTTTCAGAATATTCTTTCAGTATTGGACAAATAGTTTCTAGCTATGATCAGTGTTCACTAATGCAGATTTGCTGCAGGCATTCAAAGATATGCTATTCTAGTGGGCATGAAATCAGCACAACCATCCACTGGAACACTTGAAATAGTCAATTCCCATATGTGATACCATAACTGCCTTTTCTTTGATTTTCTTTGACGTCCTTACAGGAATATTTTTCATGTACACATTACAAAACTACTGGAAAAAAACCTCTTCAAGTTCCTCATGTTTAGCAGTCTGAAAATATTTTTGTTTGCAGATTTCAGCCAATTTTCAAGTTTGTCATGGTCTTAGCCATGTTCTGAGAGTCAAAATGGAATAATGAAAGCTCTTGCAATCTCACTTTTTGACCCCAAAAAGTTAGAAATATACAGAAGCAGGATAATGGATAGATGTTTGAATACTAGGGATGCTAAAGAATTACCATCAGCAAGGAAATACATCATTAAGAAAAAACTAAGACATACCAATTTATAGACTGCCCTTCTGTTAAAGAAATAATGTTTTCTGTAAAATTTTTTCACATTTGGCTTTTGATTGTTTACTTGTAAATTTTTACATATTTATTGAATTGCATTTTTATTTATATTTTATGTTTCATCATTTATTATTATTACTATTATTTTGTTTTGCATAGCATTTCCATTGTTTTGTTCTTTTATTCATATTTCAATTTGTTGTGTTCAAAATTCTGTTAGAACTTTATATTCTAATGATAGAATGTAATTCAATGCTTGAGGATGGTTTGTTGAACAAACTGAAAATGTTTGCGATAAAAACTGTTTCCTTGGCAAAAGGTGTTGTGTGTGATTTAAAAATTTTATATTTCATTTTATATTATTCAGAAATATTACCTGAAATAAAATACCAAATAATAGCTTATAATAGAAAATGATTAAAGATCATTCTCTATAACATTTTAACCTATTTTAAGATTTACTTTATTCATTACGCAAAACAGTAGGCCTATAAAGATTCCCAAAACCCGTTATGATAATTAGGCTAATTATTCACTTAATTTGAATAAAAAGTCGCATTAATTTTAAATTAAATTTCGAGTAAAATCGACATTTAAAAACACCGTAATTTGTGAAACATGGGAGAAAAATGCCATCGGTGGGTGGATCCGACTGGGCTTAAATCGCCACTAAAATCGGACGACCCGACCGTATTTTCTTCCGTTTCCAAAGAGAATTTTGTCTGGTCGGTCGAAATACCACTCGATTAATTATTATAATTCAAACGGTTGGAAAACAAATAGCTTTAGCTCGTGAACCGCGGTTTTAATTTGCATGGGGAGTAAACCGGAAGAGTAATTTGTCGTTAACGTAAAACCCGATCTTCCCGGGTAATCGACTAATCTTACATTTAAACGATTCGACGTTTGATAAATAATTAAAATTTGCAAAGGAATTTATCCAAGCTAAATCCTATTAAGAATAAATTTGAGCTCTCGATCCTAATTATCACGTTTTAACTTAAATTACGAATTTGTCGTGNCATAAGTCTGTTATGATTACAATGTTAATAGAAATTTGTTAATAAATAATAAGACTTGTTAATATACAAATAGTTTATTTCACATTGATAACAACGTAAACAACGTATTTGCACATGCACACCACACAGATACATTAATATAGAAAATAATTTTCACATTGAATTTTAATCATAAATAAACATTATTTGTTTCTCTGTTAAAATAAAATGTACTTTAGTACAATATATATTTAATTTATACAATATGATAAACTCTTATAAAATTTTCTTTAACTGCCACACATTTCGAATGGGACTGCTGACTAGTCTTAAATACATAAATATGCCTACATTTTAAAACAATCAATTAGTATCCTTCTGTACATTGTACAGGGTAAGCATATAAACAATGGAATTCAGAACTCACTGATGATTCTGTATTTACAATTGGTTCTGGAATACAGGAACTGGTATAACCAGAGTATGTCATCTCTCCAGAAACAGACCATGTCTGATGAAGGGATTTGCGAACCCGTTTTACCGGAGAAACATTCTATAAACAAACAATAATGTAATTACTTCTGAACTTAATTAGTAAATTCTAATTAATAATAAGAGCTGAAAATAGTAAAATAAATAAAATTTTATTTATGGTTTCATTTACTTTAAACTGTTGATTGCATACAAAGCAGATAATTTTCCCTAAAGATGAAATTAAAACACATTCATTTATTTATACTACTAATTTAAATAAAGTATATATAATTAATAAATGAAAAAATAAATCAAAAGATAAAACATAAAAGAGCTATCTGCACTATTCAATGTGTCAACAAAAACTGGTCAATCAAAGCATATTGTAGTTAATGCTTAAAATTTATATAATTATTTGATAAAAATTATCAATCATCTTAACTATGCAGCGCATTGGAAATTTTCTACTGACAGTAATAGAGTAGAGTTCTGCAAACCTGACTTAGTGTGGACTGAGAAGCTGGAGTTATCGAAAATGACAAGTTATATGGACTCCTGTGTTAACAGTAAAACGAGAAAAACCTATGATGTTAGTCTAAATAGTGAAATTTTTGTATGTGTATTATATGTACAAATTCATATATGTATTAACTATGTTCCATTAGTGACTGTTTCAATTTGTAGTTAAATTTTAATTTTAAAAAATATTGGCTATTCAGCGGTCAGTCTTGAGTTAATGACATTTGCACTGTGGCATTTAGCAGTGGCAACTTGGAAAAAGGATTGCATTATTTGATCCCAGGATTAAATTATTGATGTTAAAATTAGATTACATGCATTTTGTTTTTGAATGACAATAAGTTTTACAGTGTGTTGAGTTTCCTGAACTCTACTGTATTATCATTTAAAAACAGTTCGAAATGTTATAATTGTTATCAATATAAAGATATTGATATAGTAAATAAAATTTCAAATAATTCAATGAAGTTTATTATATCAATTTTCTTTGTATTGCAATGATAATTTTAATAAGATATAAATAAATAAATATAAAGCTCAAATTTTGTAACTTGAATATAAAAAAACTTTTATTATTTTAAATAAAAGCTTAATTTACCAACAAACTATAAAAATGACAATAATGCAAACATACACTATATGTATTTACTCCAGTATATAATGTTTAATGAAATTACAAACATTACATGTTGCCAAAAGTGTTTTTAATTCCATTAAGCATTACATGATGGAGTAAGCAAGTACAGGGTATGTTTGTATTAAATAAAAGCTTCTTCAGATAAGTACTTTGAACAGAAATAAATTCCATTAATTTTGTTTATATTTAAATTATTTTCTATTTGAAAAAAAGTACTTCACTTTTTTTAATAAAGGTGAAAGTGCTTTTTTTTTTTAATTTAANCTACACAAGATTCAATCTTAATAGAAGGGTACAAATTTTCGTAATCTAAAACAGTTCCCACTTCTTCATCCATTAAGGTAACACCTTGTAGTTCTTTGACCACCATTACAGACAGGATCCTTTGCCACCACTATAATTTAATGAGAATACAAAGACTAGTGCTAAATATAAATTTAATGAAAAACTTATATTGCAAAGAATAAGAGTTGTAAAAACATAATATATAAATTAAACTATACAATCCAACTCGTATCTATAAACCTTTTAACAGTGCGCGCATTGTCACACTCTACAACAACGTTTGTAGCTGTTGTAGAGTGTGACTATACATGCACTGGTAAAAGGTTTATAGATACGAGAGTTGGATTACAATAATACGGTGCAGATATTCCACCATTTTTTAAAGTATACAATTATATAATACAAAATATAAAAATGTTTAAAAACTGAATGTATAAATATACAAAGTTTTTTTTTGAAAGGACTTGCCAGACATTAACATCATGTTCTAGGGTCATAAAAATGAAAACTTCCATATAAACAGATGTCTGAAATTTTTTTTCCAGTTCACAGCAGTTTCAAAAGTTCTCTGTACTTGATGAGTGTTCCCATTAGCACAGTCAGTGCCGGCCCGAGGCAAGTTTTAGGATGGAGCAAGATCCTATTATGGCGCCTGGGGGTGGAACCCCGCTCACGCGTGTCTCAACGGATAAGGCCATTCACATACTGGCCACACGCTTGCAATTAAAACAACAAAAAGTGAAAAAAATATTTTTTCCTTTAATTTTCTTTACCACTGAGGTGCCCCCTAGGACTTAGCGCCTGGAGTGGCTGCTCCATTCGCCCTATGGTAGGGCCAGCTCTGAGCTCAGTCATACATAAAATGAATGTCTGCCATTTCTGAGTTAGAGTAACAGTTCATCATATTAAAGAACACTTAAAATGTCCTATGAAAACAAATGTCAAAACTACAACTTTGCTATTAATTTATATTTCATAAAAGTTTTACTTAAAATTACTTTTGAAATTGTTATAATTTCAAAAGTAATTTTAAAAAGCATTTTTTGACCTATGAAATTTTTTAATTTTTAGGATTCATAGCTGAAGTTTGGAAGACCTTTAAAAAACATCCTATATACCTAAACATGTAATCAACACCTTATCACTTGCTGAGAGATTTTTTATTAAAACCAAATGTTTTCGATCCATTCAATGGATCATCATCAGTTTAAATAGAACACTTCATAAAGAGAACAACACGTTCAAATATTCAAAAATACTAATAACCAATAACATAAAAATAAATAATACTTGTAAATAATACAAATATGCACAAAATAAATAACAAATTACCCATACTAAATATTAATACTGCATACCTAACTAAATAGAGTTTCCTATATATCATACCAAAGTTAATGCGCTTTTTGTAAGCTTTTAACTGCAAACTTCCAAGTGGAAGGAAGACCGTGTCCCTTGCGTTAATGCATTTTTCTTTAAACTTGCTTCTATCTTTTCAGCTGTTCTTGCCAAAGTCGGAGAGTGTATCTGTTTCAGGATTTCTGCTTTATCCCATCGTACTAATGAACCTTCTGCCTGTGCCATCTGGACCAATACTGTCGCATTAGAACCTTTTCTAATATCATATCTGTGTTCTTTGATCCTTATACCTAGGTTTCTAGTAGTAACCCCTACATATTCTTTTTTTATTCCTAATAGCTGGTTCTCGTAGGGAATCTTATACACACCCGCCTTATCTTCTTTTTTAACAACCCCTTTATCGTTTCTAAGTATTTTGTACAAATTCGGTGTTCTTTTTAAGACCATCTTTGTATCTTTTATATTTGTGATTTCTTTCATAATGCCTCCTAAGTGCTTGTTATATGTAAATTTTGTGTATTTAGATGGACCTTGTACAGATTTTATATCATTACTAGCTTCTAATTTTCTAATAATTCCCTTTACAATGTTCCTCTTGTACCCCAATGTTCCTGCCAACTGCACTTTCTATCTCTGCATCCCGGTCTATAATGTTTTCGCAGTATATAAAGGCCCTCCTAACCAATGCTCGAAACACTGCTAACTTATACCTATAAGGGTCATTAGAGCTTGTAGGGATATATAGTGGACTATGTGTTGGTTTAATGAATATGCTGGTGGATACACATCCTTTGCTAAATATGATATTAATGTCTAAGAAATGTACCATTTTAGAGCTTTTTTGCTCCAGCTTCAACCTAAGGCCTTCCTCATTATTGTTAACTCTATCTACAAATTTAGCAATTACTTGATTGTTTTTCCATATAATGAATATATCATCTACATATCTCTTGTAGTATATAATATCTCTTTCAAAGCTATGCAGAACTTTTCCTTCTAGTTTTCTAACAAGCTCGCACAGGAGCCCTGAAATTGGGCTTTCCATTGGGACCCCCCCCTATTTTGCTTATACATTTGGCCTTCGAAAGTGAAGAAGGATTCACAACATACTAGGTTAACCATCTCTGCAACCTCATTACTGTGATGTGCTAACATTGGGTTTACTCTATTCAAAAAGTGCTTCTACACAAGATTCAATCTTAATAGAAGGGTACAAATTTTCGTAATCTAAAACAGTTCCCACTTCTTCATCCATTAAGGTAACACCTTGTAGTTCTTTGACCATCATTACAGACAGGATCCTTTGCCACCAATTCATTACTTTCCATCATGGAGGAGATATACTCTTGCAATCTTTTTTCCAGGAAAAATGTGGGGTCTTTTCGTTTTTCCACAATAGGTCTTATTTTCCTTGCCTTCTTTATGAGTTTTAGTGAAGGCAAATAACCTAGGGGTCCCTGGTCTAGGATTCCGGCATTTTCATAAAAAAGGTAAGATCTTCGCTAATTTTGTTCCCTCCAGTTTTTTAATCCTTCTATCAATTGCTTCAACTATATTACTATTGATCTTAATACATTCTGTTTTTCTGATGTATTCTTCTAATGCTTTATTATACGTTTGTTTTTTCATTATAACTATTTGTTTGCTTTTATCTGCTCTTGCTGTGATTAAGTTATTTCTCTTTCAGCCATCTCTTAGTATAACTGATGTCCTTATTATTACTTCCTTTTTTCCACTTTTCCTGATTTTTTAACACCGCTTTCCAACGTATATGGTCCTTCTCAACCGGATTTAACTCTATAATTCCTCTTTCAATCTCCTGGAATGATGTTTCCCATAACCCAGCATACTCGGGGACAAAGTTCGGGCCTTTGTTCAGAAGCTCCTTTACTCTGTTTGGACTTCAATCTGGTCCCATATTATGTAAGTTGTAACATTCTTCCTATTATTATTTGAAACTTGCTTATAATGATCCACTTCATTTTTTTTATGTATCTTTTTTTCAAATTCTTATACACTATATCCGTAAGCCGAGTAACTCCTAAGTTCATATCCATAAGCTTATCTGGATTTTCATTAAACACCCTATTTTCCAGTTCAATGAGGTGCCTCAGGATCCCAAACTTTTTGTTTTTTGTAAATTTAATCCTATATACCAATATATAATTGTTGGGAAAATTAATTTGCTAAATTATGTATTTTCAATATATTAACAGATAAAATATATTGTAAAAATTATAAGTGTATTAAATTTCTATAAAATTATCATATAAAAACTATTAAATTAAGAAAACAGAGAAATTCAAATAAATTTAATGATTAATTTTGAGATAATACTATTTACATAGGTTTGAAGTTTCAAACTCAGTTTAAATTACATAAAAGAATACAGTATAGCGTTTATATTAGAACTGTTATATTTCTCTCGTCAACCCAAGAATTAGTGAGCAGCATCAAGTTTTCCTTTCAATATAGCTATTACTCTATTTTTAGTCCTTGTTTCTTTCCATTATTCCCTAAAATAACACCCTCATCCATTCTAAATGCTTAATAGATATCCTATGTGCTCTTCCTTCATTTATTTATACTGTTGTTCAAATGCTTCTGGTTTCTCCTGCTCTTTCTAAAAGCTGTTCATTGAACAATTTTTCAGTCCATTTATTTCAGCATTCTCCTCCAACACCAAAGACCTGTAGTATTGTCCTCTTCTTTCTCAATGTCCATGTTTTTGAGCCATATAAGGTCACTTTCCAAATATGACTTTTGATGAATTTTCTCTTCACATCCACAGAGATGTTCACCAATGCTAACACTCCTTTTATTCTGTAGAACCCTTCCTTTTCCTGTGTAATTCTCAATGTCATATCTTTTCCACACTTCCCAACAGATGTTATGAGGCTTCTTACGTAACAGAAGATCTCCACAATGTTTAATTCTTTCCTCTCCAATGTTATTTTAACATGTCTTTCAATTCCTTTTGAACAATCATTACTTTTGGATTTCAATGATTTATTTTCAGATTTCAATAGGCCTTTAGTGCATCATAAAGGTCTCTCAATGCCTCCTTTAGCTCTTGTACACAGTTTCAAGCAAAGCTATGTCATCTGTAAAACTCATTGTGTTGAAGATCATCTATTTTATTTTTCTTTACCTTCATTTTTATCCATTTATGTTTATACCTTTATGGTTATTTTCCTTATAATCCTTCACTGCTTCTATGTAAATGTTGAATAAATTAGGTGATAGTTTACAACCCTATCAGACTCATTTCAAAATTCTTGCTTTTTCTGTATCTTTCACTATTAATGCTACTTAGTCTTTGTATAGTTGGTATATTATTCTTTTACCTCTATAGTCAATTCTCAACTCCTTTAGTTGGAATAATGTTAAACATTCTAAACAATAATATATTCAATCACATTATGTATGATAAATTTGTAAAATGTTGAAATTTTCAGTTAAAATCCATATATACCTTGGCTAAAGATTTCATAATTAATACTATTTTTTAAATTCTAATACTTTTTTAAAAATTTAGTTATGTTCTCTCTTCTTAAAAATAAGTGATATAATATGTGTTTTATATATTAATGTTATATATATTCATTCGGATAAACATCACTTTGTTATGAATCAAATTCATTAATTTCCAATCATGATCATATACCATTTAAAGACTTTTCTACACTAAATAATTTCATACAATAATAATTTCCAAATTAGGAGATACAAAATATATTTTATTTAAAACGTTCATATATTATTATAGATATTTTAAATCCTTTGGAGATCTTACTCAAAGCTACCAAGAGTTTTTACTTTTCACTATTCCTTATACCATTAAAGGAAATAATTTGTATAACTGCTCTCCAATTTATATGAAATTTATTTAGCTAACAAAACTTTCGGCCTACAGTTTGAAAGGTCTATAAATTTCCACTAGCATCTGTTGTCTGTCCTTTCTTAATCTTGAAAATAAAGTTGAGACCAGATATGGAAAGCTTAAGGGTACGAAGCCCTGATTAACTATATATGAACTTCCAGTTTAAACTGGAAGTCGCATTATTTCAATTGAAATATTTTCTCCAGAACAGATTTAGATAGATGACCGGTATGACTATTGTTAACAGGGAAAGTATGATTTACAGGAGCAAGACACTACTAAAACCAAGAGCACTGTGATGAAAAATTGCAGCCTAGCATTGGGACAATGTCATAAAAATAACTGCTTGTATCTGTTATTATTTCTTTAAGTATTATACCTAGAGACTGAATTTTAAAGCAGTTGTTATGTTTTCTGCTCACAAATAAATCTTTACTGAACATGATTTGCTTATCCTTCTGACAAAATTATATTGAGCTACTTTTTGCTAAGAGATGATAATAGTGAAAAAGAGAGATAGCTAATGAAAGAGATCATGAAAGAGTGACCTTATTGCATGATACTATGCAGTAGGGTCATTCTTTCATTAACTATCTGTAATAAATTGCATAATTAAAGCATCTAATTACAATTATGCTGATATTATATTTCATATATTTAATTATAAATGTTTAAAGCTAAAATTTCCTTCAAGTTTGTCTATTGAATTGCAAAATATACCAATAATAATAATCTAATTAAATAATTCAATAATATTTTAAAATTAGCAAATTTTAACATATAACAATTGGGGTTTTTCTCAATGTTCTAATCATTTTTATTGTCTGAGGTTTTAAAGTTAGCCAAATTTTAAATCTCAAGCTCTATTTTAAAACTTAGGATCTGAATGAAATGAAAATTTTATAACCATAAACTATCTCTTGTATAAACTTCAATAAAATTAAATGACATTAATTTACTCTGTTTCATTTCATCATTTTAGCAAATAATCTTTACAATATATCTACTTGAAAAAAATAACTAATATATTTATTGTTGTAACTTTCTGTTGAAAATTATATTTGAACTAGCTGCAAGGACCCGCTTCGCTGGGTTTTTATTTGTATGTAATATAGTTTTTTTTTATATATATAAAAGACTGTTTTTCTAAGTAATCTAGAATCTAGCTGCAAGGACCCGCTTCGCTGGGCAAAAAGTAACGATAGTGAAGATTAAGATAATTACATTATAGCTAATCTTACCCGTTTTCACAGAATGCAAGAATTAGGTCCCCCGTTTCCAGACTAATTAGAGAATTTTTACGTTTAGTCAAACGAACTATTTTCAACGTTTCTGGAACGTTTACAATCGTTCTATAATCGAACCAATATTCGAATTTTATGTTCGAATTTAATTCGAACAAATTCGAACAAAACATTCGAAATAGAAAGCCACTTTCAACCACTTTCAGCCTCATATCTCCCGCACTCTTATAGCTATCGAGACGCAACCACCCCTATGCATGAATGGAGACTTGGGGCTACCACCACATACAAACACCATTCACGTGCGATGTATAGTTTTTGCGGAAAAGTGAAATATAGGGACATACATGTCCATTTATATATATATATAATATATATAGATAGGCACTAATCACTATGTAAGAAACAGTGGTTAGTTTAGTGCCTATAAGTTACAGTGGTACCTTGGTATACGTCTGCTTTAGAATACGTCCTGTTTGGACAAAACAAATTTTGCTCGGTATACGACATAATTCAATTATACGCGCCATCAATGAACAAGTAGCACTATCAGTATACTAGACCAGACTAGACGTTCGCCATGCAACAGTTTATAACTTTGTTAAATTTCTTCTGATTTTAATTTGTAAGTAAAATTTTATTATTTTTATTAGTCACAAATAGCAAAAAGGCAAATGAAAAGCGACAGAAAACTAAAAAAATGACCAGAATTACAATGGAACCGATAAAAGAGATTGTTGAGAAATACGAAGATGGTACGTGTGTTCGAGATTTTAACTGTTGCCTACCGTATTCCGAGAACAACGATATGGACAATCGTGAGAAATAAAGACATTATTAAATCTGCTAACGTTGTGAAAGGGGTTAAATCAATTTCTAAACAGAGATTGAAGACATTAGATCATGTCGAGAAATCGCTTTTGCTTTGGATAACTTAAAACAGTGCTGGAGACAGCATATCGGAAGCAATTATTTGCGAGAAAGCTAAAAAGATACACGCTGATCTCACGAAAAATCAAGCAGGAACTAGCCAGGAAAGTGAGGTGTTTAAAGCCAGCCATATTTTTACACGAGAACGAATTAACCATTTTTACATTACTTCTTATGGGAAAGGTTGGTTTGGTATACGTCCAATTCGGTGTAAGTCCAAACATCGGGAACGGATTAAGGTCGTATACTGAGGTTCCACTATATTATCATTTGTTTATAATGAACTACATACATCACCATATCTCTACACACACACATGTATA